ACCCAACTCTGGGTTCGACGAGGAACCCAGATCGGGTTCCTCACAAGGAACCCAAAGGCTTCGAGCTGGGTTCCTTCGAAGGAACCTGATCTGGGTTCCTCGGGAGGAACCCATGAGCAAAGTTCCTGTTCTAAATTTTTTTTATTTTTTTATTTAAATAAGCCACATCATTAAAAAAAAGGCATCCACGTTGGATTACTAACGGCACATAATGGCCACGTCAATTTCTGATGCCACGTAGTGTATTTTTTAACGGTGCCGTGATGGTCCGTTAAAATATTGAGTTTTTCACGGGTTTTGAAAAGTGGAAGGTGTGAATAGGGAAGAAAAATTCTAGAAGGTGTTGACCGTGAAAAAGAAATAAATGGAGGGTGCAAATAGGGGCTTTGGCCATTTATTTATTTATTTTTGTTGTGTGTGTAGACCAAAAGAGGAGAGAGGGCTCAAAGGGAAAGGATGTGTATTATTGTTAATTCACTTGACTCTTCTCTCTTCCTCTTAAGAAAAATAATTTCACAAAAGTTGCATTCGAAAAAACAAAAAATACAACATAGCATACTAGCATGGTCAAAGCTTTGTAAATAGTGATTATAACCTATTGTGAAAGGCAGTAACATCATTTTTAGTAACCTGTGGCCTATGATCAAGTAAGTTGACAACAACACAACTAAAAAAGTACATTAGATTAGAGAGAAAATAGCTAAGGGATTGGTTTCAAAAGCATTTAAAAGTAAATACAACATAGAGAATTACCTATTGTTTGAAGATTCTACAGTGAAGTTGTTGGCAACTAAATTTCTGCATATTACACAACATAAAGATAACTATTTAGTTTCACCATGTAACTGTAGGTTGGATGCAAACCCATTTTGAAAGCTGGAATCCCTCTATGATTGTTGGGCATTTATAATACGCAAGGAGTTAGCAAATAATGTTTTCTAAGAAAAATGCATATAATATTAAACAACAAATTCTAAAATATAAATACTTCTTTGGTTTAGCATATTATATTAGCATTTCAAATTTCATAGTTGAAACCCTATTAGAGAAACATTATTTATTGTAATTACATGGTTGGTGGAATTATTGTTTTCAAAAACTAATCCCTAGTAAAAGGGATTTAAAATGAAAAGGCTAATTTTGTAAAATTAAATGAATTAGAGCTTCACTTTATCAACTGGACAAATTTTTGGGACATCTCAAAATTTAAAGGTGGCAAGTTGATGGGAAGAGTATGAAAGAAGCCATACTTGTGTAGATTGATTTTTTATGTATGTTATGCATAAAAATATAAACCTGAAGAAGACTTACAGTTGTAAGTTTTGTTCGCTAACCCAAGTAGGAAAGTTCCCGACTAAATTATTGTATGATACATCACTACAAGCACAATGACATGAGAATACTTAGTGCATAATCCAGCAAAATCATGAAAAACACCTTGAACAACACTAAGTTTTCTTGGCCACAATTGACATTACTGGGCTCAAGCATGAATTAAATCACAACCACTATTAAATGAAGACATTCTAACATTATCCAAAACCTTTATTTATTTACTTTTCCCATGAAATATATGCATGTATGTAAGTACATGATTACAACTTTTGGACAAGGCATTTTACTAAGGCAGACACTTGTGCACTAGGCACTCTTTCACCAAGGCAAGAGGTGTAGAGAAGGCCTATCCAAGTTAGTTTCATATTTTCCTGATGAGCTGATAAGTTTTAATTAAATCAAACTAATATATTCCATGTACAAATTTTGTGCAAGTAGAGCAATCTATTATTGTTATAGTATCCAAAAAAGATAGTTTTACTTCTCTAAGTGAAGTATAAACATGAAGCAAACTGCAGACACAAAAAGCCCATAGGGGGTGGCTCAATTGTTTAAAAGCCTAAGATTCTAACTTGGAGATCTCAAATTTGAACCTAGAGTTGGGGAGGAAGGGATTTGGAAATAGGGGAAAGCTATCTCCTCTTGTATAGCTCATCATCAAATGTATTTTAAAAAAAAAAAAACTACAAACACAAAGAAGGCTTGTAACATTTTTATTCATACATGGAGCTAGAGTCTTTTTTTTTTTTTTCTTTTTGGCCATCCAAATAGATACATGGAGCTTGAGTTTGACTATGACTTTAAGTTCATTATCCTAGTGCTTGTTCAGTAAAAAACATTAGGCAATTGGAATGAAGCATCCTTTTCCATATTTATCAATAGAAATATTCATTTTAATTTTTTTTTCTCTGTAACACATTTATTATTTTAAAATTTAAAGTAATTTACATCATAAATCATACTTCATCAGGACAAGTTCATTTTTTGCCTTTGACTACACCAACTTTCCTACTTTGGAAAAGGAAAAAGGGAAAGACTATAGTCAAAGGCTTTTAGAGCATTTAAGGCATCCAATCTATAACTAATTGGAAATAGAAGCAGAGGCCCACTTTATTTGTAAGCCCATATACTATATCAAACTTAATCAATGTGGGACTTTCCCACTCCACACGCCCCCTTGTGTGTAGAACCAATGGAATGATACATAATGGGCTTGAGAAGAAAGAGAATCTAGCTTTCATACCTTGGTAATAGAGAAAGGGAGAAAAGGGTTGAATAACAAGGTAGACGTCAAAAGGGGTTCAAACCATGACATTTTACAAAAAGGAAAAAAAAAAAAGAAGTCCTTTGAGATAGCATAATGCTAAGAAGGGACTTGAGCATATATGG